ATAGAGGCAATCCCTCCCGCTGGTGGGCTCACAGCAAACACTCCCCTATTTCTTCCCTGGAGGAAACAAATCAATCAGCAGACTCTTTCCCAAGCCTGGGGAAACCAAAATGGTGAGGGTCCATAATGAGAAATTTCAGTTTTCCAGCCAGAGGTTGGCCTTCTAAGGAAACACAGTTTTGCTCTTTGACAATGTTGCCCCTTGGAAAAATCACACTGTGGAGACACATTGAGGGTGGAGGTCCCAGGCAGGAGGGTGTGATGTTTGGAAGAATATAAAGAAAGCATTTTTGTATGAAGTATTACAGAATATGGGCTGGAAAACTCCAATTACTGCTAAATATCCTGTGTTCCTAAGGGGCAGTCATTAATTGTTTTTTAACAGTCATTAATTCTTAAAAAAAAATTAAAAAATTGGTGTGAGGAGTGTGGGGTAGTGGCAAGTCTCTGACAGGCCTGGGTTCAAATCCTGGTCTCACCACTTATTAGGTAGGTGACTCTGGGAAAGTTACTTAACCTCTATGAGCCTGAGTTTTCTCATCTATAAAATGGACATGTATAAAATCATCTATAAAATGCACATGTATGCAGCACCTGGCCAGTAAGGGAGCTCAGAAAATGATGAGATATTGTGACTGTGAGAAGCCATTGCTACTAAGCTAACAACTAATCCTCCACTGCTGGCTGTTCAAAAGAGTGTTGGGGACGCCAGGATGACCTGGTACATGGTCTCCTCCCTCCTCCCTGCCTCACCCCAGGTAGACCTTTGTAGGCTCTTTACCATCAGCATTCAAAAGCAAATGGCAGATGACTTCTTTGTCAGAAAGGGAGTCCCTAGACCTCTGCCTTTCCAATCTCCAGCAGGGACCCTTTTCCTCTCACCTGTCTATTGTAACCTTCCCATCCATAAATCTTGGTACTCAAACTACTGTGTAGGAACGGGCTTGGGGTGCAGACCACTCACAGTTGAGATGTCTTAACAAACACTGTCCAGGGAACTCAATTATCTTTACTGAGGGTCAGAGCATCTGACTACAGCCCCCACTCCCCACAGGTGAAAGCTGAACAGTGCCCTCCAGGGCCCACTAAGAGCCATCACCCCAAAGACCCTCCTTCCAGCAGTTGCTGAAGGTGCTTGGGATGGACCTCTAGGAGCAGGATTTGGGGAAAAGTTCCCATGCTTTTCCCATCTGCTGCATACCTTGAAATCCAGCGTTAAGCTGAGCTTCAGGGCTAAGGAACTCTTGGCAAGCACAGACTATTCAGATCTAGCCATTGTGTCTACTGGAACCTTTCCTGACACCCCTAGCCAAGACACACATACACACACACTAACATGTTTCAATTATCTTTGAAGTGAGAGAAAAACTAGAGACGGGCCTTCCTATTTGCTGGGCAGGATATTTCTACCAGTAGGAGCTCCACAAGAGATCAGAAAAGAGGTTGGGGAAGTAACAGGGCTCTGAGCCTCACAAGTGGGAAGAGAGCTCATGTGTGTGGCAGACACACAAAAGGCTCAGAGCAGAGTCACACCTGGGGGAAGCTCTGTTTTCTCTGCTGGCCTGGACAAGTGGTTTTCAAACATGCTGTTATGGATTGTATTGTGTACCCTCCTCAAAATATATGTTGGAATACTAACTTCTATTCCTGTGGATGTAATACTGTTTGGAAATAGGGTTTCCTTTGTTATGCTAATGAGGCCATATCAGTGTAGGGTGTGTCCTAAACCTAATCATTTCTGAGGTATAAGCAGCAGCACAGACACAGAGACGGCAAGCACAGACGGGGAAAGATGGATGCCATATGAAAATCACCAAGAAACTGAAGAATGCTGGGGCTACAGAAGCTAATGGAGACAAGGATCTTCCTCCAGAGCCAACAGAGAGAGTGCCTTCCCCTAGAGCCAGTGCCATGAATTTGAACTTCTAACCTCTGAACTGTGAGAAAACTAAATCTTTGTTTTTAAAGTCACCCATTTGTGGTATTTCTGTTATAGCAGCATTTGGTAACTAAGACACATGCTCCGTGGAGTCTTGGCATTTCCAGGAGGGGACTCTGTGGGCCAAAGGAGGTGAGTATATTGGGACTGCAAACTCAGATGCTCATAGAGATTTGGCATGTACCCAAGTATATTCACTTCCTAGGGCTGCTGTAACAAAGTACCATAAAGTGGTGGCTTAAAACTACAGGAATTTATTTCTGCCATAGTTCCGGAGGCTAGAAGTCTGAAATCAAGGTGTTGGCAGGGTTGGTGCCTTCTGGGGGCTCTGAGGGAGAATCTATTCATGCCACTTCTTAGCCCTGGCACTCCTTGGCTTGTGCACACCTCACTCCAATCTCTGTCTCTGTCTTCATGTGGCTTTCTCCCTGGTGTCTCTGCGTGTCCAAGCTCTCTCTCCTTTCTCTTAGATTTAGGTCCACCCAAAATCCAGGATGATTTCATCTTAATTATATCTGCAAAGGCCCCTATTTCCAAAAAGTCACAGGTACTGGGGGTTAGGATTGGACATATCTTTTTGGGGGACACAATTCAATCCATGACACCAAGTGAATGCAGAGGGGGCCAGGTATAAGGCACTAATGCTAACCTGCCTGTATTGCCATGGGACAGTACAGCTGTCTAGTTATACTGCCTTTTGAACCAGCAGGATAGCCAAACAAAACACATCTTGTCAGCTGCTGACTCCCGGCTTAGGGGCTCATGTACAAGATGTTTCCTGAAACTAGAATACGAGCTGGGTGCTGGCACTGAGGACCGGGTTGGGTGATGGTGGGTAAATTCAGGAAAACGACAACCAGGTGGTGGAGGGCTCACTGTTGGCCTTGTTTTTTTTTTCAAATAAGATTTTTAATTTTAGAATAGGTTTAGATTTACAGAAAAGTTTCAAAAAGAGTACAAAGAGCTGCCATATACCTCACACCCAGTTCCCCATTCTTACATTAGTAGGACACATTTGTTATAACTAACGAACCACTATGGATACATTATTACATACTTTATTCAGATTTCCTTCGTTTTTCCCTAGTGTCCTTTTTCTGCTCCAGGATCCTATCCAGGATGCCACATTATATTTAGTCATCCCGTCTCCTTAGGCTCCTCCGGGCTATGACAGTTTCTCAGCCTTTCCTTGTTTTGGATGACTCTGACAGTACGGGAGGAGCACTGACCAGAAATTTTGTAGAATGCTCCTGAATTTTGTAGGATTTGTCTGATGTTTTTCTCATGATTAGACTTGGGTTAGAGCTTTTTGAGAGGACCACAGAGGTAACGTGCCATTCTCATCACACCATATCAAGGGTACCTACTGTCTCGCTTTTTTCTTTTCTTTTTTTAAATACAGCTCCAGTTCTCATTCCCAATGTGAGAGCTCTGCTCCCCTTCCACCCAAAGGAGCACTCCTTGGTGATGGAGGCTGGGCCCCTGGGGTTGCCCTGGTCTTGGGCATGCTCGTACTGTGGCTCAGGATGGAGGATGGTGGGAGGCATACGTTATCAGCTCTGCCACCCACCTAGGTTTGCATGGTTAGAAAGAGTCAATAACATGGATTGTGTGAGGTGGAACCTGCTTGCTGAAGGGGCTGTATGGGGAAGCTGAGTCCCTGATGAGGGGAACTGGCTCTGGGCCATCTTCATGTGGAGTTATGGGAGGCTGCTCACATCTCTCTTGTATCCTTGCTAGGACAAAAAGGCCTCTTACTCAAGACACCCCATGTCCTGGCAGGTGGACTACCTCCTGCTCCACCACCAACATCCCCCTTTTTCCTCAGTCCCCTCCCTCTCCCACATTACTCCCCTGCCTATGACCACCAGTCCCTTCTTCCTACACAGGTATGTGGCTTGCAGGGACGGGGCTTGTACGATTTTGATTTGCATCTCCCCAACGGCTAATGAAAGGAGCCCTGGTAGTGAAGTGGTTAAGCGCTAAGCTACTAACTGAAAGGTCAGTGGCTCTAATCTACCAGCTGCTCAACAGGAGAAAGACGTGGCAGTCTGCGTCTGTAAAGACTACAGCCTTGAAAACCCTATGGGACAGTTCTACTCTGTCCTATAGGGTTGCTATGAGTTAGAATCAACTCAACAGCAATGGGTTTGGTCTGGTTTTGGAAATGGCTAATGACATTGAGCATCTTTTCATGTGCTTGTTGGCCGTTTGTATGTCCTCTTTAGTGAAATGTCTGTTCAAGTCCTTTTCTCATTTTTTTGATTAGGTTGTCTTTTTGTTGTTAAGTTTTGGAGTTTTTAAATATATTTTGGATATTTAAGTCTTATCAGATATATGATTCCCCAAAGTTTTCTCCCAATCTGTAGGTTGTATCTTCACTTTGTTGATAAAGTCCTTTGATAAACAGAAGTATTTAATTTTTATGAGATTCCATCTATGTATTTTGTCTTTTGGCTGCTCATGCTTTTGGTGTCATATCTGACAGTCCAGTGTTAAAAACTAGATCTCATAACCATACCCCTATGTTTTCTTCTACGAATTTCATGGTTTTAGTTCTCACATTTAAGCCCTCGATCCATTTTGAATTGTTTTTTGTACATGTTATGAGACATGGATCCTGTTCATTCTTCTGCATGTGGAAATCCAATTTTCCCAGCACCATTTATTAAAGAGTCTCTTCCTTCCCCATTTAAGGACTTAGCACCCTTGTCAAAAATCAGTTGACCATAGATAGATGTACGGGTATATTTCTGGATTTTCAATTCTATTCCATTGGTCTATATGTCTACCATTATACCAGTACCAGGCTGTTTTGACTACTGTAGCTTTATAGTATGTTTTGAAATCAGGAGGTGTGAGTCCTCTTACTTTATTCTTCTTCAAGATTCCTTTGGCTATTCGGGGTCCTTTGCCCTTCCATATATATTTGAGGATTGGCTTTCTTATTTTGGCATATTGGAATTTGATGGGGACTGCACTGAATTTATAGATTGTTTTGGGTGGTACTGACATCTTACTTATGTTAAGCCTTCCAATCCATGAACATGGATCCTCCTTACCTTTTATTAGAGAGAAGCCGGGGGCGTTCATGCTGGGATTTGGGCGTCTGGGGAGATGACTTCATGTGATCAAGTGAATTCATTGCTGGAGAGTTTGCCTGTTGGCCCAAGAAGGAGTTTTCTAAGGTTAGCTTGAATCTAATGACATGGGAAAATGTTCTTGATGTACTGCTTAAAGGAGAAAATACAGTTATAAAAGTTGGTATATACAATATATCTGGGAAAAAATAAATCTAGACATAGTAATGACCATCATCATGGGCTTTAAAATATTATCTTTGGGTGGGAGGATTACAGGTAATGTTTGATTTAGTCTTTGTGTTTTTCTGTGCTTTCCAAGTTTTCCAAATTAGGCATACATTACCTTTTGTGGTTAGAAAAAAATGTTTTAAATGTTATCTGACAGTTCTCCAGAAATTGTTTCTGGTTTTGCTTGTCCTTGTCCCAAATACACACTATCAGGTCAGGAGAAATCCACTGACTATGAAACAGCTCCACCAGGGCATCCTGGTGACCTTGCATATCTTCACATGGATCTCATACAAAACAAACAAACAAACAAACAAACAAAAAACCCCACCAAACCCATTGCCATTGATTCAATTCCAACCCATAGAAACCCCATGTGTTATAGACTAGAACTGAGCTCCATAGGGTTTTCTTGACTATAATCTTTACAGAAGCAGATCCCTAGGCCTTTCTTCCATGGAGCTACTGGGTAGGTTTGAACTGCCAACTGTTCAACTAGTAGCTGAGCGCAAACTGTTTGCATCACCCAGGGACCTTACAGGTCTCATAGGCAAGGCTTAAATCCAGGTCTTCAAACCAGTTCTTCCCGGTTCAGTCATAGCTGAGGAAGTGAAACTGGAACAGATCTAAATTTTTAAAATTTGGGTTAACTGGAATGATAACTGGAATTGGAAAAATTACGAGTTGAAGCCCTGCTAGAAACCTAATCTCCCTCTTAGAAACCAAGGGCGGTGTACGTTTTGCATAGCAACCACATCTCTTGCCCCTCGGATTTTCAGCAGAGTCAGAGACAGTGGTGCCCCACTCAAAGATGGTGGCCAACTGCACTGCTTTGAATCTGTGTCACTCTCTGCAATCCTGCCAATAATCCAGTCTCATGCATCTGGCTCCTGAAAGGGCTCCCTATGCCTCTTCAGAGTCTCCCATTCCAGGGTTTCATTCTGTAATTTTTCCCATTCTAGCTATCATCTTGGATCACCCAAACTGCAAAAATTCAGGTCTGTTCTGGTTTTGCTTCATTGGCCATGACTGAACCAGTCTGAACTGGTTTGAAGCCCTGCTTAACTCACAGCTGATCTTTAAGTGTTGGCAGAATGCCCTGTGATCCTTCCAGAACATAAGAGCAGGGGAGGCTTGTGAGAAGCTGCTATGAAGCTATTTCTCACTTGCCTCCCTATCTTCCTGGGAGGCTGTCACGAGAGTTTCTCATCACCTCCCGTGTTCTGATGAGGTATGAGGCTTTTGCATCACCCCACTCAGGGTACAGCTGCAGGCTATAAAACTGCAGAGCTGCAGCATGGAATTGGCTTCACAGCGACAGGGTGTCTTGCCATTTGGGTTGCAGTCAACTGGTCCCTTTTGTTTCAGTGTCATCCTGTGGGGCAGGGGACGCAGTGAAATCGCACCTTTGGCTACTCTTGCTTTCACTGTCTATATAAGTGATAAACTGGTTGAATCTAATGAGGACTGGTTGTTTCTTTACCAGGTGAATCTGTCAGTCTAGCCTGGACACTCCCTGAGTCACACTAGATGACCCTTGTCTACTGTGAGGTGGCCGAACTCCTTTGGGCACCAGCTGTGACTGAAGGACTCACTCACTGATGAACTCATTATGAAGGTTGCTTAACCTAAAGTCAACAGACAAAATCCAGGGGGGCTGTGAACTAGAACAGGGAACAATTGTATATTTATTTTCCCTAACTTCTTCCCAGGAGCCCTGGGTGGCGTGGTGGTGAAGTGCTGAGCTGCTAACCGAAAGGTCAGTCGTTCAAAACCACCAGCTGCTCTGTGGGAGAAAGATGTGGCAGTCTGCTTCCGTAAAGATTTACAGCCTTGGAAACCCTATGTGGCAAT